ACAGGTTGTCACAGTGGATTGACAGAGTTGGGGATGTGAGTGCTCCACCAGGCAACAGGACTTATACATGTGTCTTAGTGGTCATACTTTAGCCCAGTCATGTTGAAATTAAGAGCAATTGGTGAGAGATCCAGAGTAGGGAAAGTGCCCACATGGAGTTTTGGTTTATTTTGGAATCCATTGAGCTAATGGTTTGTAATCACTACTGAGTCTTGAAGATCTAAGGACAACTATCTTTGCAAGAGTTACCATTGCTTATACAAGCCAAGTTACTGGTTTGGCCTCTCTGGCATCTGGAAAGACAGGCAGTTGTATCTCTGGAGCATGTATCCCTGCAAGCATTTTCAGCTTCAGCATAAAAAATGCTACCCACCTTTCTCCCTGATACCCTTAACAAAGTTAAGCTGGTGAAAATGGAAAGCTTAGGCTGTGTAGTAAGCTCTCAGCTGTATCATACTATGCCAATCCAATGATTGATTCAATGCTTTACTAGAGATTGAAGTACTTATGTACCAAGCTTGCCAAGTACTAGTCCAATTCAAGCTCTGACAACGCATCAATTAATTTAGTAGGTATTATTGCCAGAAGAGAGAGAGGTGTCACTGCACAGTCATTGATTGGGAAGGAGTGCATTGCCCTGATGGCTACAAGAATTATATTCCAGGCAAGAGCAGCACTCTTCCTGATGGTTAGCTTTCTGTCAGGATTACTATATATATGGAATGCCTTTAGATTATATTACACTTCACCATCTCAAGTTGTAGAACTCTGCAAATTAGTATAGTGGACACACAAAGTGGTGCTTATATATCAATGTACATGAGAAGCATATTCCATTCTGTCTTAGCCATCAGATAGAGTGTTTGCACCTTATGTCTTAGCTCTGAGTGCTTAAGCTACAAATAGCTATTCAACTACTATTGTTTCCAAGAGAAAAGTGTAATAAAACTCTTGAATGAGTTAACTGAACCTAAGTGATAACTAAGCACGGAATCTTAGAATTTTCAAGGGTGACAGAAATATTAGCAGAGAAGTTCTGGTCTGATATTGGTTTTGTATATAGTTGAGTTGGGCTTTAAAGGCAACAGAGTGGGTTTGCTATACAGACTAGGCTTAGTGTTCTTGGGAATACTAGATATGCTAGGCTTGGGTGGAAACTAGAACAGATTTGTTGATTTCTTAATTTTGCTGAGGCACAATTTTAATTTTGTTGAGACACACACTAAACCAAAAGGTTCAGTAAACTTTATTTATACTTTTCTGATTGAGTTGCATTAGTAAGCACCAAGAGACTGGACAAATTGAAATCTGTTGGGTTGTTGATAGGTGCATAAGATAAATGAAAAATTGCATCATTAATCAGCTGATGTCTTGGCAACTGCTAAGTGGTTGGATAAATCTCAGATGACTAATCACTTGGAAAGGCTTAGTAGATCAGTTGGGGATGTAATGACCACATGAAAATTAATCAGGTGTGACAGCTAAAAATAGTTTCTGAGAAGTGATAAAATAAACCATAACAGGGATAAGTTATGTTTGGGTTAGGGAAAATCAGTTAGGGTACTAGATTTTCTAACAGAGTGAAATTGGCCAAGTTTTAAATGTTGATGCACAACAACTACACTGATGCTGAAAGATGTTTTGAATTCAAGGATACTAATGCACTCTGCACACTTATTATTTAGCCCACTTTGCATGAAAGATTACATTGCATAATGTCTGCAATTAGAGATGAGCTTTTCCACAGTTATTTGACAACAAACACATGGTTATAGTCAGCAATATACAAGTTCATGTGTGTAGTAAAAAAGCAAACAAACTTACTAATTCAGACTCTTTTTGCAAAACATGAGAAAATTTTGAATGATATTGAAGGCATCATTGACCAGAGTGCCGTCATCCCTCACACTTTGAAGTGAAACCTACACTATATAACCTTGGTACTAGGAGGCAAAGTAGCAAATGGTGAGGCACCCAGGATAAATCAATCTAGCCTGCATAAAGCTAATTGAGTAGAATCAAGAATGCAATTTAAATGGGAAAATATGCATGAGACTCCACTAGCTAGTCATGCAGCTCTCCTTCCTCTTACTAGTTTGCATCATTGCTTTGTTGCAAGCCATTTTGGCTACTGTACTTGGTGACTCCTAGTTAGGCTACACCAATGAGTCATGTGTCAGACAACTTGGTGCTTATTATCAGGACACTTTAGCCCCCAGCCAAGAATACTAGCCATCAATTGAGGATGGGGATGATTGAGTGAGCCAATGCAAACAAGCAAGACTTTGGGTAAGCAGCCAGGATTTGATATTTCCAATTCTCAACCATCCCATGCCTTGTCCAACTCAAACCAGTTTGACCAAGCGCAAGTTATTGATCAAACCCTCTGGTAGCCACAAATTATTGTTACTCAGCTGGCAGTAGAGGAGGGTACTTAGAGTGCTCATTGCCACTTCAAGGTTAGATATTTCAGTGGAAACAGACATTAAGTCTGGTAAAAGTAAATTTACAAAATAAAATGAGTAACATATGACTAGTTATAGTCAAGCATTTGCTGCTATGTACACACAGGAATAACATCCCTTATTGTGGTAAATGATGGCATTATTTGCGCTGAAGAGAAATATGGGCAGCTGTGATAGAACCCTAGATTTACACTGAGGCCAACATTCCGGTGCATGTGTTTTACACGTTACAGGTACACACTTGTATTAGTATCATAATTGTGGGCGTGAGTATTAGATATTCGCTTACATACCCGCTTACATACTAAAATATCAAGCCTCAGTCCTGAATAATTCTGACCTTCACCGAAAATGATGATATTAGAGAGAATAGTTAAACTCCATTGTAATATCCATGACAGTGTCACACGTTTGATCGCAAATATCCGAGATTGATGCTCTGCATGATAGCACCATTAGTAACTCGATTGTTGTGTTATACTCAGCATTACTGCATGTCACTGATATGGTTCAATATCCCGTTGATCCTTGCCACTGGCTTTTTAACTGGATGTTACTTAACATTTGTACTTCTCATCAGTGCCAAAGAGTAGTTACTAAATATTCCTGTTTGTAGTATCCGATAATGCAATATTTAGTGAGGCTAGCTAAATAATCTATGGTCTGCTACATTAATACAAAGATGCCAAGTGTATCAACTATGTGGATGCATATTTCTATGTATCTTTCTGTACATATCATTAACTCATGGACCATTATACCAGCTTTTTGCACGTATTAAGCACCAATGGGCAATCCAGTTAAGTAATCACACAAAGTTAGTGTTAATAAAGCACTAGTCAATGTTGCTATCCATATTTATTGGAAACAGTCGGTGGATTCCATTAAAAATGGGAGAAAATAGAGAAACGTGGTGCTACCTTGTGATTCATGAAAGCGGGCAGTGCAATGACCAGGCGACGAAGGGTTAGGTATGAAGCATACAGTTGTATTCGATAAGCAACTACACCAAACTGCAAAAGAAATGTATCAATACTTACCGTGGGACATTGTGAATCATGGCAAAATAATGTCGACAAAATGACTCATACTACGACTTTTCAAGCATGGGCTTGCAGCGTGCACACAGGAATGGCACTTACTTTACGTAGGTTGTTATTTCATAGTCATTATGATGTTCATCAGAAATATATATATATTGCCATCGATTTCCTCTTCTCCAAAGTTATGGGATTAGGCCACAAAATCGAGGGAGAATTTTCTCCTTTATTGCTAAATACATCATCTGCCTAGTATTTCTATCAATCGATCCAAGCCCTTTATTGTGGCATCCTCTGTACTCCTCACGTGATACGCCGAATCACTAAAACCAGTCATTACCACCAAGATGCCAAACCGCCAGTTGCTTGACACCAAGATTTTCGAGCACTGTTCGTTTGACATTCAAAGAGTGTTGGTCGTTGATGACATAAACAAGTCCGTCCACCTTCTTCACTATCTCAGCGGAGAGAGGGTCACGTCGACCGCCCGCATATCCACCACGGTCCTTGACTTGGTCGAGGGTCAAGTTCTTGAACTCGTACTCATCCTCCACAGCACAATAACTGTAGGAAGGTATACCGATCACCAACCGGTCGTTGGGAATGATCTTGCTGATAGTAATTGTCCACCGTTTCAGCCAAGCCAGTGGGCAAATGGGCTGACCACCACCGTGGTCCCATTGGTAGTCGTAGATCATAGGGGTTATATAATCGACGGGCAAGGGCACGAAATCTTCATACCTCCACTGTAGAGGACAGTGGTCGGTAGTCCACACCGGTGCGCAGATGGCAAGCTTTTTGCCGAGGGAATGGAGTCTAGCGCCAAGGGTAGAAAGGAAGGCTTTGTAACCGGCGTAATCTTCGCCAGTCCACTTTCCGTAGCTCTCAAAGTCAATGTCGACGCCGGTTAACTGGTGCTCAGTCACGAAGTCCACCAGTATGCTGACGGCGGTAGAGAGAATCGCCTCGTCGCTGGTCAGAGCCCGGAGCCCAGCCACATGACCAGCCACAGTTACAAGTTGCTCGGTAGAATACTGTTTCAGCTCCCGTACGTTCTCTTCGGAGAAGCCGTTTTGCGTATCGAAGAGCTCGTCTGGGTCTTCGTCAATCCGTTCTAACTGACCTGTGGTCAATAAGTTGAAATACTGCACCCGTAGGACATCAATCTTGTGTCTCTTGTAAGTAGCGGGCGCGTCCTGTCCTGGAGCACCGTAATAGATCCAGGCGTGAAGCTTTAGGGCCGTGGAGCTGGGTGCGCGATGACCCAAATTTTTAAAGGCCTTCTTGATGGCAAACATGGCTTGACCCACCCCTCATACAAAGGGATTTATAAGGATTTACGCCACACACGAGTTCCTAATATATATATCGAATGTGGGCGGTGGATTATGTTGGTGGATGGACTACCTCTCATAATTTTATTCTCAGGTGCTCGAATGATTGATACTGCTTACGGATTGACTGCTAAAATACTCATCCTATATTGTAAAATTGATGCCTACTGCCAGGATTGAACTGGCGACCTTCAGTTTACGAGACTGACGCGCTACCACTGCGCTAAGCAGGCCAATGTCCGAGGTGTGTAAACTTTGAAAATCATATTATTAACTAACTATGTTCAGCTTGAGGAGGTCAACTACTCTTGGATATATGTGGGAAGGAGAAGCTTAGAATAGTACCTTTGATTTATGCCTTTATCATTATTGGAAATCCGGTTCTTAGAGTATTCTGATGTATCTGGTTAAATAGATTTTCTTTCAATGAAACCTGGTGAAGTGTGGGCAGAAATTTCATTATTTACTGCACCCAACAAGGAATTTGGTCAGAGTTCTCTAAGATTTTTAGATTATGATCTAAGTATCTAACTTGAGTGAATATTTACGTGAAGTTGCAAAATTTGCATTTGGTTATATTGTTTCACCAGGTGATTTATTGAGAATATTGGTAGTATTTGTACTTAACATGGTCCTGAAACTATAAGCTCATACAATGTGCTTGCAAGCACCCCCAAACAAAATTTGGGGACTTTTGGACAACTCAGAAGTTTCTGTTGTAGAGTCTTGGAGATATTGGAAGTGATTGGGAGAACAAGTAGATTATGTGGTTTTCACTTGATGATTTATTGAATGTAAAAGTAGTATTTATACTTTTACATGATCTTGGCATAACAAACATGTAGAATAGGCTTAGGAAGGTCCAAAGAGCGTGTGTGCAAAGTTTGGGGCTTCTTGGACAGCTTATCTAATTTTCAGGTTCTGGGTGTTGTAAGAGTCTTGGAGATATTGGAAGTGATTTGGAGAACAAGTAGATTATGAGGTTTTCACTTAATGATTTATTGAATGTAAAAGTAGTATTTTTACTTTTACCTGGTCTTGGCATTACAAACACGTAGAATAGGTTAAGGAGGGTCCCAAGAACATGTGTGCAAAGTTTGGGCTGTTTGGACAACTTATCTAATTTTCATGTTCTGGGTAAATATTCTAAGTAGATCCCAACAAGGAATTTGGTCAGTATTCTCTAGGATTTGAGGGTAATGATCTAAGTGACTAAGTTAGGCAAATATTTAGGTGGAAATACAAATTTTACAACAGTCTCATGTTCTTGGCTCTTGCCATTTTATTTGGAGTATAAAAGCTACAAATAATAACACTCAGAAGTTATGATCCAGGTGAGCCAGTTTGTGTAGTATTCATGTGCAATTACAAATTTTACAACAAAAGTGGCCTTGATGAACTCTCAGCATTATGGCTAAGCAGCAAGATAGTAAATTATGTACAATTATGCAGATTTCACTTTATAAATCATTGCATACGGAAGTAATGCCAGTACTTTTTCAGGCAAGTAAACTAGATTATGTCAGGGAAGGAGCCAAAGCACCTGTGTACAATTTGGGGACTTTTGGACATGTTGAATACACAGATATTTGACCTGAGGCGGGGTATAATAAAGGTCAAAGACTAAGTTGATGTAAATACTTTGGTATCAGTACACACATTGATGGCTTTGGCAAACTAATTCAACCATATCAAACGGGTACTAAAGGTCCAATAATTCCAAGGCCTCCAATCTCGACTGATAGATTCAGGTGGCTAATATCTCAGAGCACTGTATTCTGCAATAGAAGAATTTTGTTCAATTACTAACCTTGCATCATCTTATATATTGTTACACATAGGCAACCGCAGTGCTAGTTGAAACCCAATCTCTGTGCCGCAATCCCAGAGCGTATATGGTGATTGATTAGAAATGATTCTCCATACGGTGGAGTAAGACCCTACAATAGTGAGCCTATACGTGTTCTTCCAATTGAACAACATGCGTGAGAAAATTGGGATTTTTTGTAATTGTTGATTCAACAACTTAAACACCGCTAAATTCCGCAGATAAAAGATAAATTCGGTTTAATCCTAAATCTTCATATAGGAGATTAAATTTAATCATTATTCAAAGTAACGTGATTTAGCATGAAATCACTTTTTTTTAATGTGCTCATCCACATAGATGGGGGCTGATAACTTGGAAGCCAACTTATCTGTCATGTCGGATATTGATATTGATGCACAAATCAAGGCACAACAAGCCGAACGTGAGGCTCGTTTGAAAGAGCAAAAACAATCCACACAGGCTTCCTTGGTCGGCGACATCGCATATGACACCGATCTCTATGGTAGTTCTAATAAATACGCTGGCTACGAAACCAGTCTTCCAGTGAATGAGATAGACGACGAAGAACAAGTAAGAAAACCAAAAAGTCTTTTATCTTCATACACAGCACCTAAAGAGATCTATGAAGAATTAGCTGGCGTTGGGGACGATGAAACCGATCCTTTCGAGGGTCGCAACGGCAGCAAAAAAATTGTTGATCGTGAGGATGAGTACCATGCTCGCAGGTTCAATCGCGCTCTCTCTCCAGAGCGCATTGATGCCTTTTCCACCAATGGAAATACCAACTCGGAAGCTAGAAGCTACGCGGAAGCTATGAAGCAGGTGGAGCTGGAAAAAGAGGAACAAAGAGTGAGGAGGAAAATCGCGGAGAAGGGGAAAGAAGCGGAGGCCAATGGCCAAGAGATTGAGCCCCAACAGCCTGCTAAAAGAAGACGTTGGGATGTTGATGCACCAAGCAACGAGTCTCGTTCCGAGTGGGAAAAGCCAGATGAGGAAGAGAAGACTGAACCCAAAAAAAGCAAATGGGACGAAACCCCACGCGAGAGCACGCGCAGAAAGAACCGCTGGGACGAGACTCCAGTCAGCAATGCCTGGGATGCCACACCACAGTCCAGCGTTGCTGATACGCCCAGCGGTAAACGTAGATCTCGCTGGGATGAGACTCCAGTCAATGCCAACGCCTTTGGCGCCACCCCAGTTGGCAGCTATGGAATGATGACTCCTACACCAAATCAACTTGCTCAGCCCATGACTCCGGAGGCGATGAATGCGATGAGATGGGAGAAAGAAATCGACTCCAGGAATCGGCCATTGTCCGACGAGGAGCTAGATGCCATGTTCCCCACCAGCGGCTATAAGATCTTGGACCCCCCGCCAAGCTATGTTCCTATCCGAACACCTGCACGCAAGCTGACTGCCACACCCAGCCCAATGGTTGGAATGAGCGGATTCATGATGCAAGAGGAGGACAGAAGCCAAACATACGATCTGCCCACCGAGATTCCAGGGGTTGGAAATCTCCCCTTCTTCAAACAAGAGGACATGCAGCACTTCGGAAAGCTGCTGGACAATGCTGACGAGAACGAATTGTCGGTCGAGGAGCTCAAAGAGAGAAAGATCATGCGCCTGCTGTTGAAGATCAAGAACGGCACCCCGCCCATGCGTAAAGCAGCGCTCCGCCAGATCACCGACAAAGCACGCGAGTTCGGTGCCGGCCCGCTCTTCAACCAAATCCTTCCTCTACTCATGTCACCTACCCTTGAAGACCAAGAGCGCCATCTTCTGGTGAAAGTCATTGATCGCATCCTTTATAAATTGGATGATCTTGTCAGACCCTTTGTCCACAAGATCCTTGTGGTCATCGAGCCACTTCTGATCGATGAAGACTACTACGCCCGAGTGGAAGGTAGAGAAATCATCAGCAATCTTAGCAAGGCCGCAGGATTGGCGACCATGATTGCAACCATGAGACCGGACATTGATCACGTCGATGAGTATGTTCGTAACACCACGGCCCGTGCGTTCTCGGTGGTGGCATCGGCACTCGGAATCCCAGCGCTGCTGCCCTTCTTGAAGGCGGTCTGCAAGTCCAAGAAATCCTGGCAAGCCCGCCACACCGGTATCAAGATTGTCCAGCAAATCGCCATCCTTTTGGGCTGCGCGATTCTTCCTCACCTCAAGAGCCTGGTTGACATCATCGCCCATGGTCTTGAGGATGAACAGCAGAAGGTGCGCACCATTGCCTCGTTGGCCATCGCTGCTTTGGCTGAGTCCGCCGCACCATACGGTATCGAGTCCTTCGATTCTGTTCTCAAGCCACTTTGGACTGGCATTCGCAAGCACCGAGGCAAGGGACTTGCTGCGTTCTTGAAGGCCATCGGGTACATCATCCCGTTGATGGACGCCGAGTACGCCAACTACTACACCAAGGAGGTGATGATCATCTTGATCCGAGAGTTCCAGTCACCCGACGAGGAGATGAAGAAGATCGTCCTCAAGGTCATCAAGCAATGTGCTTCCACCGACGGTGTAGAGGCCCGCTACATCAAAGAAGAGATCCTCCCCGAGTTCTTCAAGAACTTCTGGGTCAGAAGAATGGCCCTGGACAGACGCAACTACAAGCAGCTAGTGGAGACCACGGTTGAGCTGGCACAGAAGGTAGGGGTGACCGAGATCGTGGGCCGCATTGTCGAGGACCTCAAGGATGAGTCGGAGCCCTACAGAAAGATGGTCATGGAGGCGATCGAGAAGGTGATTAGCGCGCTGGGTGCTGCGGATATCGACACCCGCCTGGAGGAGATCTTGATCGATGGTATTCTCTACGCCTTCCAAGAACAAACGGTGGAGGATGTTGTGATGTTGAACGGATTCGGCACGGTGGTCAATGCATTGGGAATGCGCGTTCAGCTCTATCTTCAGCAGATCTGTTCCACCATCCTCTGGCGTTTGAACAACAAATCCGCCAAGGTTCGCCAACAAGCAGCAGATCTGATTTCCCGTATCGCGGTGGTGATGAAGACGTGCGGTGAAGAGAAGCTGATGGGACAGCTTGGTATCGTGCTGTACGAATATCTCGGTGAAGAGTACCCCGAAGTACTCGGCTCCATCCTCGGCGCACTCAAGTCCATCGTGAATGTGATTGGAATGTCAAGCATGACTCCACCTATCAAGGATCTCCTTCCCCGCCTCACGCCCATTCTGAGAAACAGACACGAGAAAGTGCAGGAGAACTGCATTGATCTGGTTGGCCGTATTGCGGATAGGGGGGCGGAGTTTGTTAGTGCGCGTGAATGGATGCGTATCTGCTTCGAACTGTTGGATCTACTGAAGGCACACAAGAAAGGAATTCGTAGAGCCGCTGTCAACACATTCGGCTACATTGCCAAGGCCATTGGACCGCAAGATGTGTTGGCCACATTGCTGAACAACCTGAAGGTCCAAGAGCGCCAGAACCGTGTGTGCACCACGGTCGCCATCGCCATTGTTTCGGAGACCTGCGCGCCGTTCACCGTGCTGCCCGCGCTGATGAACGAATACAGAGTCCCGGAGCTGAATGTGCAAAACGGAGTGTTGAAGTCCCTCTCGTGGGTGTTCGAATATATCGGTGAGATGGGCAAGGATTACATTTACGCCGTTACACCACTGCTTGAGGATGCATTGATGGATCGAGATCTTGTCCATCGTCAGACCGCCTGTACCACCGTCAAGCACATGGCGCTGGGTGCATACGGTTTGGGCTGCGAGGATGCGCTCCTTCACCTGCTCAACTACGTGTGGCCCAACGTGTTCGAAACCTCCCCACACGTTATCAACGCAGTCATGGAAGCCATCGATGGCCTCAGGGTAGCTTTGGGACCCGCCATCATTCTTCAGTACGTTCTCCAGGGACTCTTCCACCCAGCCAGAAAGGTCCGCGAGATCTACTGGAAGATCTACAACAACGTGTACATCGGTGCACAAGATGCCCTGGTGCCGTTCTATCCCACCATCGAGGATGACTCGAGAAACCGTTATCAACGTCACGAGATGGACTATTTCCTATAAATGTCGGTGGACTGTACTATTTCTATCCTTCTTTTCCTTTCCCTTCCTTCCCTCCCCATCCACCTTTTGAGTTAATAAAGTCGCTTATCATTTGCCCAATCGATCAATCACCAACCTCCCCACATTTCCATCTATGTCCGAACCATCATGATTGCGATATGACGCAATGAACCAGGATGCCGTGGATAAACATACAAACGCGAACCTTATCAGCCCACAATCCGAATACCATATCTGATCTATTGAGTACATTACCTGGACATTTCCTATGCCGGATTTACGCGATGCTTGAGCGCATGAGAAAGGACATCTAGGGAAACAGAGGGAAGAGGCTAGAAATAGCACAACACTAGAACGTCAACACTAGAACTGACTAGAACAACAGTACTAGAACCGCAATGCTAGACCATCCAGTCGAGGCTTCGGCATAACGATGCCTCGTGCGATCCGCCCGAAGTTCCGTTCCTCTCACTACGAAAAAAATAAGCAATCAGCAGATTACTAATTCGAGGCAACCTCATACGAGGCAACCTCATAATCACTTTCATGGAAGTCGGTCGTGTTTGTATGTGGACTAGCTTAAGTATAGGAATAAAGGCTTTCCACTGGGTTGGCCGGATTTGGCAGGTGGTGATCCATGGAACCTTCGGTGGAGATAACTGCGGTTTCCGAACTACCGAGTATTGACAATATCAGGGATGAGGCATTTAAAAGCGTGCGAGCGACACGCTGGATGGGGGCGAAAAAATGATGGCAGATACGGGATGATCGATATATTTGGAAATTCGGATTTTCCAGTCGTGGTGTCAGTGGATGTTATAAAACCGCCGTCTCCCTGCGCTGATCCCCTCGTCACTTTCCCCCTAATTTTTAATGATCAACCTTGGGTCACTAATCAAGGCCTACACAAAGGCCTACATAAAGGCCTACTATCGATTCTTCGATGGATTGGCGCACTACCTATCCCTCATCGAGATCCCATTTCTCTGCCTAGTAACCATCCCCTTCATCATATGGAACTCCATCCACTGGTCCATCAAGCTGGCGATCTTCGGCATCGGCGCTAGCTCCTACTATTTCATACCCCGCTCCCGGGCGATCATTCGACCTGCACTGCCCGTGTTCGCGTGGCTCTCATTATTCATCACTTGCGGGGACATCCCCACCGAGCTTCGTCCCGGGATTAACGTCACTTTCCTTCCTCGTACCGAGCAGCTTCTGTTCGGCGGGAACCTGTCGGATGTGCTGGCCAGCAACACCGCCGATTGGAAAGACATCCTGGCATGGATCGTGTACGGGGTGTTGCACTTCGTCAACGGGTTCATCGCCGTCCCCATGATGTATTTCCTCGGACCCAAGGGGACCCTGCCCAAGTTCGCTCGGGCCTACGGATACATGAATCTGGCCGGAGTCATCACCCAACTTCTCATCCCCACCGCATCCCCCTGGTATCTTTACCTGTACGGACTCGAGCCCGCCACCTACGCCATCCACGGTGAGCCTGGAGGCTTGGCCCGGATCGATCGCATCCTCAACCTCAACCTCTACAGCAACGCATTCAGCAACTCTCCCTTGGTCTTCGGCGCCTTCCCAAGTCTTCACAGCGGTTGCGCCGTGATGATCAACCTGTTCCTGGGCCACATCAAGCCCTATCTGATCCCCTTCAACTTCCTCTACATCGTGTGGATCTGGTGGGCGTGTCTCTACTTCCGCCACCACTACCTCATCGACCTCATCGGGGGATTCGTATACGCCTTCGTCTGCTTCCTGATCGTGTACAAGGGACGTATCGCGCCCCAGTGGGACGGCCCGGTCAAGGGAACCCCGGAGCTGCTCCCCACCCACAACGACTATGTCGCCTTGGACAACGCCAGCGAGGTGTTCTCGGACTTGGACATGGAGGATGCCCCCGAGATGGTCATCTCGGTGGATGCTCCCACCATGGTTCATTTCGACGAGAAGTCCCAGATAGATCTTATTTACACTTCCATTTAATCCAATCAACCATCCCCATCCCCATTCCCAGCCCCAACTCCATACCCGTTCCTTCCATGTATATACGTAGTAGACTTTATTAATGCTAATCCGATAAAACCATCCTTCCTGTCTCCTAATAAACTGTGACAATCCCTGATTTGGCGACTCTTCCTGGGCTGGATTAAGCGGTGACCATGGAAATGACGGGGGCGCTGTGCCGTGGCATTGTTTAGGCTATCTGATGAATCCGGAAATGTCAGATTGTCCCGGATATTGAAAGAAATGGATTTGTTGGTGGGAAACACTTCAACCTGCAGCGTCATGGCTGGTCCTGACGAAATGGATTGGAGGGTATGGCCCATATCATGTTCACTGTACACCGCGGTTACGAATTCGTTTAGCATCGAATGGATTCCGGATTCAAGAGTCATGTCACCAAGAGCAACACAAAGCGTTAATTGCCAGTGGTCGTCCGGGGGGGGGGATTGTCCTTAAGGGTGGTGGGCATGATATCGATGCCTGCCCAGTGCCGAGCCGTTAAAGAGAATGGCTTCTCGAGAGTGGGAAGTGGCCGTGTAGAGCCGGAGTGGTGGTGATTGTAGAACAGTGTCTTGGCGTAGGGCAGGAATCCATTCAACCCAGTGTTGGTGTCTACTGGATTGTCTTTCGCTTTGCATCACTGAACATTTATTATGTTGCTTGTCAGTTGTTTCCATGTCGTTGTCCACATTTTCCTTGTTCTTATTGAACCGTAACCGTGTTTTGCTCGTATGATTGTATTTTGGCTCAACCTTGGTGGCTTCTTTACCCCTGAATCGAAAAGAGAAGGGTCCTGTAGCTCAGTGGAAAGAGTGTCTCCCTCCGGAGGAGAAAGTCGTGGGTTCGACCCCCACCTGGATCGATCTTTTTGTTGGGTTGTACGAACGATGATGCCTAGATAAATTAATCTCCTGGGCGCTAAGCAATGTTTTAGGGCAGAATAAGCGCATCTGTTCCGCATTCCATCAAGATCAAAATTTACCAATCATCAGGTGATTCATCACCAGGTACTTTCTTTGCCAAAGCAACTTCGACCACCAGTTGCCGCACTTGACAACACCCATAGCAAAGCCATGGGTTCATACAAGAGTTACGTATTGACCTTTTCTTGGGCAGTGTACCTGTTCGAGACCTATCTAAGGTAGGCCCCCGTCAATTGATTCACCCCCGCCCTTACCATACTGCGTTTTCTAACCGTTGGACGAACCGCAGCTATCGCCAGCATTGCAAGCTTCAGGAGCCACGGAGGCCGAAGGCCATCGAGGGGATAGTGACCGAGGAGGAGTTCGAGAAAGCCAGACAGTACGGCTTAGACAAGTCCCGGTTCGGATTCCTCTCCAGCACGTGGTCCCAACTAGAAAACTCCCTCCTCATCCAGTACGAGTTCCTGGCGTGGGCGTGGGGAGTGGCCGGTAGCCTGATCGGGTACTTCGGGTACGGCAGCGAATACGAGGTCAGTAGTTTCCAGTCTGTTGCGAGGTATTTTCCTCTTTGGTGACCTCATTCCCCCCTCCCTCCCTCCCTGCCCGCCAGATCTTCCAATCGGTGTTTTTCTTTGTGATCATTTCGTTGGTGGGCTCCCTTACCTCCCTTCCCTTCAGCTTGTACAGCACTTTCGTGATCGAGCAACGCCACGGGTTCAACAAGCAGACGTACCGGTTGTTCTTCGAGGATCTTCTCAAAGGGTACCTCGTCGGTGGGGCCATCGGGATCCCACTGATCAGTGTCTTCTTGTGGATTGTCAAGTCCACCGGGGAGCAGTTCTATTACTACGTCTGGGTATTCATGTAAGTAGTCGAGAGTTTGGGTCTACCCCTCGGTCTCCCCGTACTAAACGCCGCCACCACCACCACCACCACCCGACAGGTTGCTGTTCCAGGTCCTCATGATCACCATCTATCCCACCTACATCCAGCCCTTGTTCAACACCTTCACCCCGCTCCCCGAGAACGAGCTGAGAAAGGATATCGAAGGGTTGGCCAAGCGGATCGAGTTCCCCCTCACCCAGCTGTACGTGATCGACGGTAGCAAACGCTCTAGCCACAGCAACGCCTACTTCTACGGGTTCTTCAAGAACAAGCGGATCGTGCTGTTCGACACCCTCCTCGAGGACTCCACGAACCCGGAGATCTGCGCGGTGCTGGGCCACGAGCTGGGCCACTGGAAGCTCAACCACGTGTTCAAGCTGTTCACCATCTCCCAGGTCCACCTGTTCTTCCTCTTCTACCTGTTCTCCAAGTTCATCGCCAACCGCGCCCTCTACCTCGACTTCGGTTTCTCCGACACTCCTACCCTGGTCGGCCTCATGCTCTTCAGCTACATCTTCTCCCCCGTCGAAAGCGTGCTCGGGTTCTGTATGAACGTCTTGAGCAGAATGCACGAGTTCCAAGCAGGTAATTCCTCCCTTCCACCTCCGCACATTTCATCTTGTTACGGAGATCGTTGGTGTCGGGGATGCTGGTGGAAATGTCCAGGTCAAGGAGGATACCGATATTTATGTCCACAGCCACAGCCACATCCACCCACCTCGCCAACCATTCGTATCATAACATCCCTTCCAACCTCCGCTTCCACCTCCACCTCCACCTCCACTTCAAACGTAACCCTAACCATCCATCGCAGATGCATTCGCGGAGAAGCTGGGCTACGCCGAGCAACTGAAATCCGGCCTCATCAAGCTCCACACGAAGAACAAGGGGAACATGAACCCGGACGTGTGGTACTCCACCTACCACTACTCCCATCCACCTCTCGTGGAACGTCTAAACGCACTCGGGATCAAGCAGGAATAATCCTGGTCACACACGTTTATTCCCCACGAACAAAAATCCAAATAAACCCTTTCGTTTTCGACGACTTCGGAGTGAACGGGAAGGAGGGGGCTCTAGAGTGAGGTGAGGGTGGGATGGGGTGGGGTGGGGTGAAGTGAAGAGGAATGGGGCGAGGCGAGGGGAAGGGAGGGGAAAAGAAAAACCAAACTGGTGGAGAGAATTAACCAGTCTGTATAACGGAGGGCAAAGCTTCCACCAAGGGAGAGGGGCGTTGTCGGTAGGAAGAAGCGGCCGGGCTTGGGTTCACCGTGGGTACCACTCTTCGAATCTCCACCTGAACGCGATCCCCTCGACCACCTTCTTCAGCGCTATCGGTTGTTTCAGGGTTTTCTGCTCCACCACCAGACCTCGGTGGATGGCTTGCAACTCCTTGGAGACGAGTTCGGTCGGGATGACCGTCCAGTCGTCGTCTTCCGGCTTGGCCTCCCTTGGGTAGGCGACTCCGGTCCATTCGCTTCTCAGCTTATTGAAGTGGGCTTCCCCGATGTCAGGTGTGGCATGGGGGGTGGGCGGTTCTGCGGTACGGGTATGAGTATGGGTGGGGTGTGGGTGTGGGTATCGTCGAGGGTAGCGACAGGTACAGAGGTGGACATCCTCGAAAGTATCCCCGTTCGGAAAGGGGAAAAGATGCGCAGGGCCCCGATAAATAGATCCCGTGAGTCGAGGGAAAAAAATTGGTGATCAGATGGAACTTCGTTGGAACAGGTTTATTTCAATGCCGATTATTAAAAAAAGGGGGAATATGTAGGTCTAACATGGACAGGTCTGTATGCTATTGGTGCGGTGGTGGGGAAGGGGTCTGGAGGTGGTCGAGCGAGCCGCTGCGTTTGTGTGGATTTACATGTGGCTCGCGACCTACCCAAGCTATTTACCAACCACGCTTGGCATAGATTTGGTCGTCGGGGATCTCGGAGATGTTGATGCCAACCATGGCCTCACCGAGGTCTTCGCTGACTTGGGCAAGGACGGCGGGGTCGTTGTAGTGGGTGACGGCTTGAACGATGGCCTTGGCACGCTTGGCTGGGTCTCCGGACTTGAAGATACCCGATCCAACGAAGACACCGTCGCAACCAAGTTGCATCATCAAGGCGGCATCGGCGGGGGTGGCGACACCACCGGCGGCGAAGTTGACAACGGGGAGACGACCCAGGCGGGCGGTTTCCTTGAGGAGCTCGTAAGGGGCTTGGAGATCCTTGGCGTAGGCGTAGAGCTCCTCATCAGACATGGCGGAGGCACGACGAATGTCGGCGGCAACGGTGCGAGCGTGGCGAACGGCCTCGACGACGTTGCCGGTACCGGCCTCTCCCTTGGTTCTGATCATGGCAGCACCCTCGTTGATTCTACGGAGTGCCTCACCGAGGTTCTTGCAGCCGCAGACGTAGGGGACCTTGTACTTGTGTTTGTCGATGTGGTTGGCTTCATCGGCGGGGGTCAAAACCTCGGACTCATCGATGTAGTCGATCCCGATGCTCTCCAAGATCTGCGCCTCGACGAAGTGTCCGATACGGACCTTGGCCATGACGGGGATGGTGACGGCCTCCATGATCTCCTTGATCATCTTGGGGTCGGACATACGGGCGACGCCACCGTTCTTACGGATGTCGGCGGGGACTCTCTCCAAGGCCATGACGGCGCAGGCACCGGCCTCCTCGGCGATGCGGGCTTGCTCGGCGTCGATGACGTCCATGATCACTCCGCCCTGGAAAAAAGAATTCGCGTCAGTACCAAGCGAGATATCTCCTCGTCCCGTCCCGTGCCATCCGGCAACCTACCTTCAACATCTGGGCCAAACCAGCCTTGACGGCGAACGCTGACTTGCGGTCTTCGGCGGATTGGACGCCGTTTTGGGCAGTCAAGTTTTGGGGGGTTGCGAAGTTGCCAGCGGACATGTTTACAAACAACGAATGGTTGAGTTGAGTTGAGGTGAGGCGAGGTGAGGTTCGATGAAAAATCTCCTTCCCAAGCTCGGAACCTTTATACCTTCGCATGATCCACGAGATGGGCCCGCTGATTGGATCACCCCTCGGACCTCCCATGTCGAGTGACTCACCGATCCTGGCCGGTGGTTGGGATCGAAAAATCGCCCCCGCGCGCTGGCATCGGTTGTGGGTGCATGCACGGCACCTCGCCAACCCGCCCTCGCCACCATTCCTTACGCACCCACCCGTAGCTTGCGCACGCCAGGCAGCGAAGATTGGGTTCGTCGGTGATGCGAACGTGTGTAGCCCTCGAAGATAATCTTGATCCTCCCCCCCATTTGGGAGTAGATTATCCAAATCAACCACGGATTGTGGAATCCCCTGTGCCAGAACCAACTCTGGTTTCGATCGAGCCCGGATCCACTGGATTCGGTCGCACCGATGGATTCTATTGACTGATGGATGGGATCTCCTCCTCCGAGTCAGTGTTTGGCTGATTACGTAGCCGAAAAGGGGGTTCGATGGATGTTTCGGATTCGGGGACCGGTTCGAATGCTAATATCCATTCGCTATTTCTGTCGTAGTTGTGGATACCGATACGGTTGTTTGGTTGTGTGCGCATCAAGCTAAATCCGGACAAGCATCATTCCGCACCATCGGCCACCTCTATGCAGCAACTGGGCTCTCCCCGCCGTGGCTGATGAGTGGGGGGGGGTATCCGCGCGGTAGGTTCCGCAAGGCCACCTGAAGTGAGACTTCCCGACCAAATGCAGCGTCGGGTCTTGAATTGGGCGGGCACAGGTGTAACCCATCGGTGCCTATACCACCACCACCCTGATCTCAAGATGGCTGGTCTGACTAGGCCCATAACACCCCGTGGAAAACCTTGCTATGGAAACCCCGTCGTACCTCAAGGAAGGTCTACCAATGATCTATCCACTTCATTTCCCTTACTTTCGAACATCTCTGTTGATCCTGAGCTTGTTTCTCTCTCCATGAATCTGGCCGTGGGAGTCCTTTGCAGGGTTGGTCGGCCCAGGATTGCCACATGTGCATCTACTCCTACCAACCACTATGACTTATTTCCAATTGACCTGGCAACGGATACTCTC